GCTGGGGCGCCGGGGTGCCCGGGGCCTGGAGCGCGGCCTGGCCGGAGGGCTGTGAAGGGAACTTGGGCGAGCCTAGTGGCATCCTGAAATGGGAAAGGCGGCCGACAGGGGCCCTGGGGAGGAATGGAGAAGGCCCCTGTAGCTGGAGCTCTCCAGCGCAGCCCCAAACCAGCCTTTGTGGAGCATACAGTTCATGGGAGCAAAAAAGAGAGCTACCCAGAGTCTGGGATGGGGAGCTGTTTGGGGAAACATCGCCCCTCCTAAGGTTTGTTTGTTTGGTTGGTTGGTTGGTTTGTCGCGCTGAAGTTAGGCATGTAGCTAAGGTTTCACCGGAACTATACTGGTACATATGAAAAAAAAAAAAAAAAGGAACGATTGATTGGCAAAGGCTTTGTTCAGTATTTTTTGCTCAACAATTTTAAAAAGAAATAAAGAATCGTGTTTTCGAAATAGTAAGGTCCTCCTGAGAAAAGGGATGGGTTTATTCCCAGGAGACTAAAGCCTGGTTCTGTTCTCTCGTCCTCTCTCATTTCTCACATATACACAGGAGAGACAGAGAAAGACATAGAAATTCTGAAATGTAACCATTTTAGAACACAGATAGAGGGATTTGTCTTTATTCGTTCAATCAATATTTCTTAACAGACACAACCAACATTTAAAAGCTGTGGAAGAGGATGGGAAGCAACTGGGATATTCATCCAATACTGAAAAAGCACAAAGCAAACCCAAGCCACAGCTGTGGAGACTAAGTTTGGGGCTTGCAGATACCTTCCACGAAGAGGAGACTGCTCATAATGCTTCTTTGCCAAAGAGACTAACCAACCCTCCTTTCTCTGGAGTGGGTGGTAGCTGTGGGTTCAAACTACTGTCTTGAGCAGTCAATCACCTATGGCTGGAGGAGATGCCCAATAGAGTAGCCACTTTGGAGAAGTTACCTATAAAGTTAAATATATACTTATCCTAGGAGGAGGTTTTAAAAATTTCAGAGAATAATCCCATTGTCTTTCAATTCCATTTTTTTTCCCTTGAGCTTTTTGGAGCCCCTTTCTAAAGTCTAAGCATTCCACTCTTGAGTATTTCTTCACGAAAAATACAGAAAGCAAACATACGTCCATAAAGACTTGTACATGAACATGAATGCTCACACAGTTCTTCATAAGACCCACAAATTGGAAGCATCCAAAGTGTCAATCAACAGGTAGCTATATAAACAAAAGAAGTGAATATGTTTCTACAATATAAGGAATGAACTATTGATATACGTGATGTGGATGAACTGGACAAACTTTAAGCTGAGTAAAAGAAATCAGACATATAAACTTAGTGGTGATCCCACATGTATGAACTTCTAAATTGGCAAACTAATTTGTTTTGCCACTAAAGCAGATCTGTGCTTGCCTGTGTGGCAAGAAATGAGTGGACTTTGACTTGGAAGGGGCACATAAGATTCTTTTTTGGCGATGGAAATATTTTAGATTGTTATACAGTGGTCAATTACTCAAAATGGCCCTTCTAGCCATAGCCCTCTATATTGTGATGTACTGTAAATCTTAGCCTCTACATTATAGTCTATGTTAGAACAAGAACTAACTTCTGGTTTTAAGCTGTTCCCTTAATGGGCAAACAGCGAACTGCCTTTGGGGTTGGGAGTTGGTGATGGGTTCAAGTCACGGTCCTTTAGCAGCTGAGCACTGTAACCACTGTGCCACCAGGGCTCCTCCATCCATTAATGAAAAAAGGAGGAAGCTGGTATCACAAAAATAAGGCTGAGGCTAGATCTGGCCCATCTTAGAGGCCCAGATGAGATCAATATGTCCTCTACTTAATCTTTTGGCCCCAGAAGGCAAAACTATACCTCCATCACGCTCCACACATTGGGAATATGCCATCGTTGTGATACCCTGCTTCCTTCCCAACTGAGCATGCACTGCAGACTAGTGCTCAGTCACACCACCGTGGAACACCAATCAGACTTCTGGCTCAGAACTCAGGGAGCCATCCTGATGTGAGTCCCAGCTTGCTCCTTTGCCTGGATAGGCAAGCTGCTTTGACTTAATTTCACAGCGTGGTATCTGCCTGAGCAACTTTTCCAAGTCCATTCTCTTACCCATAGCCTATCACCTAACCTGAGTCACCAATGTCAATAGCTTTGTGAAGCAACAGTGCCAGATTGGTGTGAATGAGTAGGATTATCCAACGGAGGTCAGCATTTCAGCTTTGGGACACAACTATCTGATCCATTTCCTTAATGGTTCCTTGCATCCAAATGCTAATCCCTGGAAGGTGAGGGTCTATACTAAGGGGAGAAGTAGTGGTTGTTATCAGGGACAGTGGATTGACATAACATTTTTAGAAAATTAGACATTTGGGGCATCTTTAATCTCTATCTTCATTAGGACTAGCCTGGCTTAATCTTTCTAAAATAAATTATTTTTGCATAAATCATGGTTATTTTAATGGTTATATGCATTTATACATGTAGCAGATCTCATAGAACAATATGCTTAAAATTAGCACAATTGACTGTAAGTAAATTATTTCTCAATAAAGTTTCTTTTAATAAAGAATACAAAAGAGAAACTATCTATTTGTTCACATCATTATTCTCCCTGTCCTCTGACTTCTGGGCCTCTAAAGTCCAATATTTATAAATTTTGTCAAAAGCTTCACAACATTCAGTGGAAATAGGCAAGTAAATATTTCAACACATTGAAAAATGTTTGTTAAACAGCACTATATTACAGGAACTATCACCCTGGAGAGCCTGCTGGATTAGACGAATAATTCCATTGTCCCCTGCTCTCTTTTACGGGTCTTATCTTATCCTTCCAGGTCTTGGACCTCGAGGAAGAAATCTAAAAGAAAGAGGATGCTCAGCATAGATTAAGAGTACTGAAGAAACCACGTCAACCTCCAGTTGCAGTACTGAAAGATTTTTATGGACAAAATGTTTAATAATGAAAAAGAGAAACAAAAGAAGATGGAAGAATATACAGTCACTAAACCAAACTTAATTGGTTGACATCCAACCATTTCAAGAAGTGCCATGTGATCAAGAACGAATGTTATAGAAATGAAAAGTCCATGCTTCACAGAAGGCCTTAAACAAAACCGAGGCTCCAGGAATTCTCAGAAAACCAACGGAAATGTTTGAATACGCTGATGCAGCACGGGAGGCATTCATTCACCTGGGCCAAGAAATCTGGAAGACAGCTACTTGACCAACTGACTGGAAGAGATCCATATTGGTGCTCATTTCAAAGAAAGGTCAACCAACAAAAGGCAGACATGATCAAACACTATCATGATTAATAGATGCCAATAGAATGAATAGATACAAGCAAGATGAAGATAATTTTAAAAAATTGTTACAGCATTACATGGACAGGGAAATGCCAAAAGTTCACACAGAATTCAGAAAAGGACATGGTACAAGGGACATCATTGCTCACACCAGAAATACGGCCATACCAGAAAGATGTTTACTTGCGTTCTATATACTGTGCGAAGAAATTCAACTGTGGGGGTGGGGAGGGGCTGTCATAGCACACAATGCACAACACTCAGAATTAGCAAGTCCATAACACTGCATTATGTTCATGTGAAATCTGTACATAGATCAAGAGGTGGTCCCTTGAACAGAACAAGAAAGTATTGCATGATTGAAAGTCAGGCAATGTGTGCGTCAGGGTTGTATCCTTTCCCCATACATATTCAATCCGTATGCTGAGCAAATAATCCAAGAAGGATACAGCATCAGGATTGGAGGAAGGTTTATTAACAACCGGAGATATGCCAATGATGCAACCTTGCTTCCTGAAAGCAAGGAGGGTGTGAAGCACCTGCTGATGAAGATAAAGAATTGCAGCCTTCGGTATGGATTACAATTCAATGTAAACAAAACCCAAAACCTCACAACTGGACTAATAGCATCATGATAAACAAAGAAAAGATGGAAGTTGTCAAGGATTGAATTTTCCTTTAATCCATAATCCATGCTCATGGAAGGAGCAGTCAAGAAAACAAATGATGCAGTACATTGGGAAAATCTGATGTAAAAGATCTCTTTAAAATGTTAAAAATGGCTGGGTTCCTAGGTACAGTACTTTCTGGAAAGGATTACCCAGCATGGGTTTTCTTTAGAGTTCAACAAAGTCCTATTTCCAGAACAAAGAAGGCTTGGGGGCCTTCTTAGTTATTCTTACAATGATTCTCCCAGACATGCTCTACTTTTTGTTTTCTCTCACTTGCTCATTTTTTTGGTTTGTTATAATTTTCGTTTTTTGCAGTCCATGGTACAGTAAATATTTTTCTC